CTAGTCTCCCATTCCAATTACATTAGCTATTAGGTCAACACTCTATGAGGAAAGTCCAATTACACGATTAGTAACATAAGAAAAGGTGTTATTCAACATATATTGGTAATGAAATATTCTTCCTTGGTGACACAATGTATCGAGTGATGCTAATCCTATCCAATGAAACAAAACCAAGAAAAAGTGAAACTAATTAAATGAGCTTTTGGACAAGTTGAGGAAATTATGACAATCTTTTGTAGAACTAGAAGCCACTTACATTTATTAAGGTTGAGTTATTCTCTCCGTGAACTAAACATGGCATGTGTAATTGTGGTTTCCACTTATGGACTTGCAATAGTGTTTTCAGAAGCAATAAACACAAAAATGACAAGGGTCCTAGAGCTTAAAACAGGAAGCAAAGTGCACGCTTCACTTCAAGCGTAATTTTAAAAGAATATCAAAATGAATATAGAAAAATAAAGGGAAACTAAATAAACAAGAGCTCAAAAAAATAATGTATCTATTAGCAACTCTTTCAATTTTCAAAGGAGCTGATACTTTAAGCAGTTTGGTGGTAAAAGGAGTCTTTGTTTAAATTTAAATTTAGTTAGATGATCTGGAAGCAAGAGGTGTATCAGTAGCCTACATTATGGCTATAAAAGACACGAACAAAGGAGCTAAAACGCAAGTAAGAACGGTGGGAGGAAACCCGGAGCACTTTCTCTTATGGTCCCCTGTTATAGATCTAGTTATTGGACGCTGTAAGATAAAATCTGAAGTTTTTTTCTATGACCTATAATGCTGGTTCATTAAGAGAGAACCTGCAATCTCTTGAGTTGAAGTACTTAAAAACTGAAATTTCTGCTTTTATTTCCTTAGACAAACAAATAGTTAAAGTACAACACTTTTAAGATAACTACCCCTAGAAACTACGACATGTCTTCCGAACATTGCTGGAATGAAAAACTGCATTACTACTAGAAAATAACTACTACTAAAAGGAAATAACTACTATTGTAACTATTGGATGACTAAGGAGTGATAACATTACTCTCCTCTAAATTGTGCTTTTCCTCAAGCGCTAAGTGCGAAAAGTAATAATATTTCTCTCTAATCAAGCAAACTCTTCCTCATCGTCTATATAGTCAATCCAGAATAATTTCTTCAATTGATGACCTCGGGTGAATGGTTCATCACATTTGAAACAAAGCCTTTAAGTCGCCTATCGTCCATTTCAGATTTGGTCAGTTTCTTCACAAATTAGGCTTGTTGTTGAGGTGAGAAATCTATTGTCTTGGATTTGCAAACATCTAAAACAAATGCGAACAAACAGGTTGTTCCTTGCGTTCATAAAGCCTGGATAGACTCATCAGTCATCACCGTAGCCAAATCTAAAGGATTATGCAACTCAACCTCAATTGCTATTAAATTAGTAAGACCACTAATATAAAGTTCAACCTTTTGCGACTGAGTGACTGTATCAGACCGCGAAATTAACTGCTCAAACTTTTCTTGGCAATCTACTACATACCCGATCTGGCATGACATAGACAATTCTCTTAATTTCTGACTTTTGATTGGTGGCCCAAAGGAAAGGTTACATTGACGTTTGAATTCATCCCAAGATGGTTGAGGTATATCTACCTCTAGTTGAAGAAACCTAACTTTTGCATTGCCTTCTAACTGAAAAAAGCAAGTCCAACCTTTTTTTCTTCTAGAGTTTGTTGGTGTTGAAAGAAGTGTTCACATCTGTTCAACCATCCAAAAGGGTTCTCTTGGCCATTAAATCGTGGGATCCAACTTTTTATGTCGAGGAATGATGTAACTTCCTCCTACTTTTGATTCTGACCCTCCTGCCACTTTATTTTTATCCTTCCAACTGCAATTCTAACTTGTATTGTCATTTGAATTAGAATCGACCTTAGAATTCACTAAATCCTTTGCTAGTGCATCCAAACAAACATTTATTGCTTCGTGTCTGGCCAAATTGGTTGCACATTCTTCTTGGAAAAAGTTCACCAATTATGCTAGTTGATGTTGAATTTGGTTTCCTATTATTCCCGACTCTGATATGGTCGCTTGCTATGGATTTAGTTATGGGACTCTGCACGATAAAATTTGAAGTTCTCTTCCTATGACCTATGGTGCTGGTTCGTTTAGAGAGACCTGCAATCTCTTGAGTTAAATTACTCAAAAATTGAAATTACTTTTCAGCTTCCATTTCCTAAGACAAGCACATAGTTCAAATACAACACTTATAAGATAACAACCCCTAGAAACTAGGGAGTGACTTTCTAACTACAGGGAAGTAACTACTACTAGAAAAAATATAAAAACTGGTGTAACTATTGGATGTAAGGAGTGATAACACTTTCCTACGGAAATGAGGTTACTCTAGGGGTTGACTCTTAAGCATGTTTCTATTTTATATTTTCCTTGGTGATGGATGTATTGACACGACATTCAAGATGAGGTGCCATGTTGATATTTGCACATGACATAGTACTAATTGATGAGACGCGCAATGGAGTGAATGCTAAGTTAGAGGTGTGGAGACAAACTTTTGGAAGCTTAAGGGTTTAGGTTGAGTAGGACTAAGACAAAATATGTATAGTGCAAATTCAATGACATGATGCATGTGGTAGGCGTGGAAGTGAGGCTTTGCGCATAAAATATCCCCAAGAGATATAAATTCATGTATCTTGGGTCAATAATCTATGGGAGTGGAGACAACAATGACGATATCACACACTGTATTGGTGCGGCGCGGGTAAAGTAGAGGCTTGACCCTAGAGTCTTGTGTGATAAAAAGGTACCACTGAAATTCAACGGTAAGTTTTATAGGGTGGTGGTTAGATCGAAATGTTGTATGCAGTTGAATGTAGGTCAGTCAAGAACACCCATGTCCATAAGATGCATGTTGCAGAGATGAGGATGTTGAAGTGGATGTATGGTCATACCAAAAGCGATAAAATTAGAAATAAGGATATCCAAAATAAGGTGGGGATGACCACAGTGGTGGACAAGTTGAGGGAAGCGAGACTGAAATGGTTTGAACATGTAAAAAAGAGATGCATAAATGCACCAGTGAGGAGGTGTGAGAGGTGGTTATAGAGGGCACGGGGAGAGACGAAGGAAGGCCGAAGAAGTAATGGGATGAGGTGATAAGATAATATATGACACAATTTCAAGATACCGAGTACGTGATCCTACATAGGAAGGTGTGGAGGACTCGTATCAGGGTAGAATGGGGTCTACAATGACACCTGTTGTATTTTTTTTTAAAAAATTAGTATCATTGTACTTTATGGTGTTTCGATAATCACATGATTTAATTGTTTTTGTTGTTAGATGAGTTTAGTTGAGATATTGTAGGCTTTTGAATTTTATTTTGCAGGTTTTGTGCAGTTTTTTTTTTGTTTTCAAGTTGGTTATTTAAAGCTTTCCATGCTAAATAAAATTAAAGTGAGAAAATTTTCAAATCATTCTTTCAACCTTTTTTGGTTCACTATCTTTTAAAAAGCAACACTTATCTTGAAAGAGAAAAAAAGTAGCTACAGGACGAGTCCTAATTTATGAAGTTGAAGAGGAAGAAGATGAGTATTTTGACAATCATGATGAAGAATAAAAGTTCTGAACAATTTGTTTTGATTTTGCTTGTCTTATGGAGGATATTAAGCTACTTTCTAAATTGAAAGATTCGCTGATAGGTGCTCCCTCTGTTACAGTTTGTTTGTCCTGATTTGACTCGGCATATAGTTTAAGAGAGTAAAGAAGACTTTTGCATCTTGTGGATTTAGTCTAAAGGTGTGTGTAATGTATCAAAATGGCCTTTGAATCTTGTGGTCATTCCAGGTAGAATATTGAGTGTAAAGAGTTTCTAAATATAGAATGTGGTATTTTTTTTTATACAGACTAAAAAAGAATGTAAGACAAACAAATTGAAAGAGAGTAGTATTATTTTTTCCTAGCTCTTGTTTATTTAGTTATATATATATATATATATATATATATATATTATTAGTGCACTGTTATTTTGATATTCTTTTAAAACTGTGCTTCAATTTAATGAAGTGTGCGCTTCGCTTAAAGCCTTGTTGCTTTTTTTGCACGTCTCGCTTCTAAAAACACTGTTTTTTAAAAGAAAAACAAGCTGGTGCATAGCTACATTTTATTTGAATATTATTTTTAGATTACTCAGACTAGGTAATCATTGATCTGAAAGAACTGTATTAAAAGAGTTGATTTGGCAAGTCACAAAATAGGTTCAATATCAGTTCTTATTCCTCTACTCTTCGAGCGTGGGCTTATATGTTAATTAATGATCTCAGATGTTAATTCTTCAGTGATTAGGGGCATATTTCCAGGTTCACTAGGAATCTTTTTGACATTGTAGAATTGAAACTGTGGCAAAAATAGCCTCAGATTACAGCCATTTGCTTGTGCATGCATGACTGGGGTGAAGACACTATCTATGCCTTTAGTCCCACTTACTTTTGAGCAGGTTGGATGCTAATCAGCTGTTATGTTAGCAGTTGTTAGCTCTCACAAATATTAGAAGTTCAGGTCCAGTTTGCTGTAGTGTTTAGTTAGTGTAAAGAAATTCAGCAGTTGGTACTAGCTTGTCAAACTTCTACCTTATGAAACACATGCTTGTGATATATATTCACTCTTGCATTTTTCAGGGGATTTTGCGTCTAAGAGGTAGGCCTGCAGTTGCTTATGACCAACAAGGCCTTGTCTTTGCAGTGGCAATGGAAGGGGGTGCCATCAAATTGTTTGATTCAAGACACTTTGACAAGGTTTGTGTCTCTAAAGCTCAGCTTCCTTTTGCATTACAAATAATGATTTTTTTCTTATGTTGTGATATGTAGGGGCCCTTTGAAACCTTCCTAGTTGGTGGAGATACAGCTGAGGTTTGTGACATAAAATTCAGCAATGATGGAAAATCAATGCTTTTAACAACTACTAGTAATAGCATCTATGTGCTTGACGCCTATGCAGGAGAGAAGGTTATTTGTTCATCATAATTCTTCCGTCTGCTCTAGATTCTTATCTTGTTTCCTACTCCCTCCATCCCATTTTATGTGGCACCATTTGACTTGGCACGACATTTAAGAAAAAATGGAAGAGTTTTGAAACTTGTGGTCTAAAACAATCCTTTGATAATTGTGTCGTTGTAAATTTCATTAAGGGTAAAAGAGAATTTTAAAGTTGAATTGTTTTTTGTTACAGAATATTGTAAATATATTCTATTACCTTATATAGATAGGGGAGATATGTAGGATATTTTCTTACCTTTATTGATGTTTCTTTCTAGTGTATATATACATGTAATGTTGATATAATAAAGGAGTTCAGTTCTATAAACTACATGGTATCAGAGCTAATAGGGCTCCAGATCTTGTTCAAAAACTTCGAAACTTTTCCTAGCATCTTGGGAAAAGGTTTCGGCTACTTGGGTTTTGGTAGAATACCTCTAGGCTTGCTGTCCCAACATCATTTCATTTGTTCCAACGTACTGTAGGATTGATTTTGGTGTTAAAATCACTGCAGGATAATAACTCTTCACTTACAGGTTCGATTTTCATCCTTGCATCTGTGACGTAAAATCTTGAAATAACATTGCGCTACAATGGCTGTTGGGTTCATTTTTGGTGTCAATTTTTTGATGTTTTCAACCAAACGTTTTCAGCTAGTTTGGTGTCAGATATTTTTATCCTTTACTCTTCTTGATCAATTTCTTGGATAAACATTAGTTAAAATGTCTGATGATAAATCTGCCATGACTGGAATTATTCCAGTACTGTCTAAAATTACTGATAATAAATTAAATGGGTCTAATTATTTAGATTGGAGTAGAAAAATTAGGGCCTACTTGCGTAATGTTAAAAAGGATGACCATCATATCCAAGATCCTCCAACGGATGATACTAAAAAGACTTGGCTTAGAGATGATGCTAGACTACTCTTGCAAATTATAAACTCTTTTGACAATGAAGTTGTTGGTTTGGTTAATCACTGTGAGTTTGTGAAAGAGTTAATGGATTATTTGGAGTACTTATATTCTAGCAAAGGTAATTTATCTCGGATTTATGAAGTTTGTAAGGCTTTCTATCATTTTGAGAAGGAAGCTAAGTCACTCACTACATACTTCATGGAGTTCAGGAAAACATACGAGGAACCGAATGTACTTCTACCATTCAGTACTGATATCAAGGTGCAGCTGGCTCAGAGGGAACAAATGGTTATAATGAGTTTTTTCAGCTGGACTCCCATCTGAGTTTGAGACTGCTGAATCACATATTCCGTCTAGTTCTGAGATCAGCTCTCTCAAAGATGTTTTCAATCGAGTGTTGCGCACAGAGAGTACTCCATCCAACCAATAGACCAATGTGCTTGTTGCAAAAGGAGGAAGAAATAATGGGAGATGAAACAACAATAATGATGCACGGAGATGGAACAACAACAATGATGCAGGGAAGTGGAATCGTAACAATGATGCAGGGAAATGGAACAACACCAATAACTCTGGGAGATGGAACAATAACAAAGGAGGAGACAATGATGTTGGTAGATGGAACAATAATAAAGGAGGAGACAATGATGTTGGGAGATGGATCAACGACAATACTTGTCGCTATTGTAAGGAACCCAGGCACATAAGGCGAAACAGTAAGAAATTACAGAATCGCAACCAACAACTTCAGAATCAGATTGCCACGGTTGCACCACATCTAGTTCACCCTCAATTGTTACAATCTCAACCGATGAGTTTGCTAGATTTAAAAAGAATTAGGAATCAATGAATGAAACCACTCCAGCCCGTGCCCTTACTGAGTCAGGTAACAAATGTCTCATTTCCTCCTCAAGCAACTGGATCATTGATTCGGGTGCCACATATCACATGGCAGGTAATCCCAAAATAATCTCTGAATTCCGGTCACATAAAGTACCATCCTCTGTTACCATAGCTGATGGATCTAGTTATACCATTGAGGATCTGGAATCATTAACCCCACTTCATCTATTACTTTGTCCTCTGTTCTTGGACTACCTAGTCTTGCCTTTAATCTGATTTTTGTGAGTAAACTTACCAAAGAACTACAATGTTTTGTCTCCTTGTATCCCGATTAGTCTTTTTCAGGATCTTATGACGAAACAGATTATTGGTAAAGGCATGTATTAGACGGTCTCTACATTCTTGATGAATGGGCGCCTCCATCAGTTGCTTGCTCCAGTATCATCTCGTCATTTGAAGCACATTGTCGTTTGGGACATCCTTCTCTACCAGTTTTGAAGAAATTATGTACTCAATTTCATAATGTACCTTTAATAGATTGCCAGTCTTGTCATTTTGCAGAACACCATAGAAGCTCGTTAAGTCTTAGGAATAATAAGCGGGCTGAGTTTGCTTTCGAGTTAGTTCATTGAGATATTTGGGGACCATGTCCGGTTGTTTTAAGTTGGGTTCAAATATTTTGTTACTTTTGTGGATGATTTTTCCCGAATGGCATGGATTTACTTTATGAAAAATCATTCTGAAGTGTTCTCCCATTTCTCTAATTTTTGTGCTGAGATTAAGACACAGTTTAATGCTTCTATCCATATATTGAGGAGTGATAATGCTAAAGAATTCATGTCAGCATCATTTCAGAACTACATGAATCAATATGGTATTCTTCATCAATCTTCGTGTGTAGATACACCCTCACAAAATGGAGTAGCTGAGAGGAAAAATAGACACTTGCTGGAGACTGCTCATGCTTTGCTATTCCAAATGAAGGTACCTAAGCAATTTTGGGTGGATGCGGTATCCACAACTAGTTTTTTGATTAATCGCATGCCATCCACAATACTTAATGAGGATATTCCATATGGTGTTCTCTTTCCGAATAAACCATTATTTTCATTAGAGCCAAAGGTGTTTGGAAGTACTTGTTATGTTCGTGATGTGCGACCCCATGTTACTAAACTAGATCCAAAGGCTTTGAAGTGTGTCTTTTTGGGATATTCTCGCTTATAGAAGGGTTACCGGTGCTACTTTCCAACCCTTAACAGATACATGAAGTCGATAGATGTGGTGTTCTCTGAGAAAATTTCCTTTTTTCTTCTTCTGACAGTTCTCCCACTCAGGGACAGAAAGAAAAAGAATGGCTCATTTATAAGACCACTCAACCGAGCTCAGAACACCATAAGGAAGTTTGTGGAAGTGTTGAGCAGTCAACTGAGAATGTGTCTTCTGATGTTCATTCTGCTCCAACAAGGCCACCGATAATTCAAGTTTATTTTAGGCGACAAGCGACCAATGATACATGTCTTGCACCAACTCTTTCGTCATCAGATCCTCCTCCGGTCAATCCCTCTCCAACAGTTGACATTCCCATTGCTCTTCGCAAAGGTAAGCGTCAATGTCAATCAATATATTTCATTGCTAATTTTATCTCATATGACCACTTGTCTCCCACATCTTGCTCTTTGATTGCTTCTCTAGATTCCATTTTTGTACCCAAAACAGTTTAGGAATCTTTGAGTCACCTTGGGTGGTATGATGCAATGCTCGAGAAGATACATGCTTTAGATGAAAATCACACTTGGAATTTGGTGGACTTACCAAAAGGAAAAAAGGCAGTGGGATGTAAGTGGTTTTTTATAGTCAAAGTAAATCTTGATGGTTCTGTAGCGAGGCTTAAAGCCAGACTAGTTGCTAAAGGATATGTTTAGACTTATGGAGTGAATTATTCTGATACTTTTTCTCCGGTGGCCAAACTCACTTCCATTCGCTTGTTTATTTCTTTAGTGGCTTTCAAGATTTGGCCGTTACATCACTTGGATATCAAAATATATTTCTTCACGGGGATCTCCAAGAAGAAGTATATATGGAGCAACCATCTGGTTTTGTTGCTCAAGGGGAGAATGAGAAAGTTTGTCACTTGAAGAAATCTTTGTATGGTTTGAAACGAAGTCTGCAAATGTGATCATTCGGTCTTCTACAGACAATGAACAACTGACATTATTCTTCTTGTTCTATATGTTGATGACATTGTCATCACCAGGAGTGATTATGCAGGAATATCCTCTCTTTACTTGCATTGGATATTTCACACGAAGACTTGTTCGTGCATTCGATATTTCACACGAAAGACTTGGGAAAACTGAAATACTTCTTAGGAATAGAAGTAAGTAGGAGTAAGAAGTAAGGAGTAAGAAGGGAATATTTTTATCTCAAAGAAAGTATATCCTTGACCTTCTTGAGGAAACTGGAAAGTTAGCAGCCAAGCCTTGTAATACCCTATGGTTCCAAATATGCAGCTCACAAAAGATGATGGTGACCTCTTCGCATCCAAAAAGGTACACAAGATTAGTTGAAAAATAAACTATCTTATTGTAACTCGTCCGAATATTGCTTTTGCAGTTAGTGTTGTTAGTTAGTTCATGACCACGCCTACACTAAAACATTTGGCAGCTTTGGAGCAAATATTTTGCTACTTGAAAGGCACCCCTGGACTTGGCATAATATATAGCAACAATGGATATACTCGCATTGAGTGTTTTGCAGATGCCGAATGGGCTAGATCCAAGATTGATAGAAGGTCTACTACTGGCTATTGTGTCTTTGTGGGTGGAAACTTGGTGTCATGGAGAAGTAAGAAACAAATTGTTATACCTCGATTCAAGAATTCGAGTATAGAGCTATGACATAATCCACATGTGAGATTATGTGGATACATCACCTCTTAAGTGAAGTTGGGTTGAAGTATCCCACACCTGCGAAACTTTGGTGTGATAACCAAGCTGCTCTTCATATCGCCTCAAATCCAGTGTATCATGAAAGAACTAAGCACATTGAGGTGGATGCCGTTTTATTCGTGAAAAGATTCAAGAAAACCTGATTTCCACGGGCTATGGGAAGATGGAGAGCACTAGCTGATTTGTTCACAAAGACATTGAATGGAGCTCAAGTTAGCAATTTGTGTAACAAGCTGGGCATGATTAATATATATGCTCCAGCTTGAGAGGGAGTGTTACAGAATATTGTAAATATATTCTATTACCTTATATAGATAGGAGAGATATGTAGGATTGACCTTTATTGATGCTTCTTTCTAGTGTATATTTACATGTAATGTTGATATAATAAAAAAGGAATTCAGTTCTATAAACTATAATAGTAAGGTGACAATTCTTTTTGGGAACAGTATAAAGGAAAGGTGCCACATAAAATGGGACGGAGCAAGTGTTATTTTTCATGATGTTTTGTAGACTTATCCAACACTAAATGACTACTTTACTGGTGCAGCGGTGTGGGTTTAATCTGGATCCTTCCCCGACAGCAATGGAGGCATCCTTTACACCAGACGGACAGTATGTTTTTTCAGGTATTAGATTAATTTTTTTGAGCTTATTATTAACCGAAGAAGAATCCTCCTGTATTATTGTTGGAGCTTAGATATTAGACTTAGTATGATCTCACTTTGCTCCAGCCTTGATGTGTACGTTTACATGTCATTTATGCTTGTGGACCATAGCAGTCTAGCAGACTGCCAGATGAATTAGTTGGAGAGCATTCAAGCTAACTGGGGACATTACCATCATTAAAAAAATCTAATGCCCTTTAGGAATGTCGAAGCAGTGTTCTAAACTTCCAGAATACCTGCCCTATCTTTGTGCCTTTATCGTCCTTACTTTCTGGAATATTTCATAGCCTGACCTTGGGAGCCGTATTTGTTTCCAGTTATGCATAGGGTATTATCATTTGGACACAAAAAATGTTAACCATGTATGAATGTGTTTTTTATTTTCAATCTTCACTGGTTAATGATCATTACTGAAATAACAATAGATGAGTGAGAAAATGAAAGAGTATACCGATAATCTTAGAGCTTGACTAGTACGATTCTTGTATTTTAGTTGTGAACCACCAGTACCCTTGTATAAGCACAATGACTTGGCCGGTCATCTGAACTTAACACTCTTTCGGGCCCTTTCAGGAAAAAGTTAAATGGAAAAAAATAGGTTTTCTAGCAAGAAGCTAGAACATATTGCAGACATTGTTCAGACAAAGAGTATGAGGGGAAATAATTTTTGGCAGTAGGAATTATAGTGCAAATAATCTTCGGGCAATAGTAATCATGCATTGCCAGCACTGTAATTCTTTTTTGTCTTGCGCCTCCAAGTTTGATGAGAATTTTTCTGCCATCAAGCTTGGTTCTTATTTTTTATTCTGTTCATACTATGAAGTGCTCACTGTCAAATGCAAACTTGACGCATTCTTCTCTATGATGGTATAGTTGATCCTAGAACTAAAATGCTTTATATTTATATTTAAGGTTCAGGAGATGGAAGCTTGCATGCGTGGCACATCGACACACAAAATAAGGTCTCCTCCTTTTGGTTACTCTCTCTGTTGGGTCTTTTTTACAGCTATCATTTGGGTCTTTGCAGCTGGAAATTTGGACAATCATTGATCCATCTGTTTGAATGTCGTGCCTTTTTGTGTACCCTTATTACTCAAAGGAGAAGTTATCTACATTCCGTGTTTACCCTAGACCTTTGAACACATGTCATGTTTATTTCATACGCTTTTTATCAGATGTATATTATGTCTTCACTTTTCCCTTACTCATAAGTACAGTTTATGTATTCTTTTATCTTCCAAGGACTAAGAAATTACTGTTTTGATAGGTTTGTAGCTGGGATAGCCACATAGGTGTGGCATCGTGCTTGAAATGGGCCCCAAGAAGAGTCATGTTTGTTGCTGCATCATCAGTTCTTACCTTTTGGATTCCTGATCATAGAGGTCCTGGTGAGGCCGCTGGAGTCCAAGTAGAAGAACAAGTTACTCTTACTCAATGACGTCTTTATAAGTTACATGTAGGTGTAAACACACTTGGCACTCCCAGGAGTTGTGTGGACATTGTTGATGCATGTGTGTCTTTTATTTGTTATCCTTTTTTGTGAAGAAAGAAAACGAAACCAAGGACTTGGATACCCCTTTCTGTTTGGTAAATAGGTGTCACCTATCTTCTATATGGGTTTTCTCAATCATTTGGCCCACTGCGAGCATCATTCTATCACGGTAAGCTTTCTACCCTCCGATCCCGATTTTTAGCTATCAGAGTGTAGACGAGTTATCGTTGAAGATCCATATTCACTTTTAGCGTGACATTGTAATTGCAGTGTTAATAGTTGCAAGTCTGTTTAAATGGTGTGTACAATGAGGCTTTGCGGTATACTTAGACTAACATATCGAGGATGACGGTGGAGTAATTACACAAAGCTAAAAGGTCATTTTGTTAGAGGAAGTGATATGCAATGGAAGGAGTAATTACATAAGATTGAATTTGAGTAATGTGTATGTATTAGTATTAGTATTAAGTAATTTATTTGTGCTTCTTGTGGCAATTAATAATTTCATTAAACTTATAAAAATCTTTTCCAATATTTGACTATTATAAGAAAAAAAGAGAGTAAATTTTAGTAGGTTTTAAGAACATTTCAATATAAATTAAATGATTTGAGAATAAAACTGTAAATCTATAAAGAATGATTCAATGTATCTTGATATCTAGTCATTTTTATCGTTATATTATTTATCATGATGTATGTTTGGTGATATCATAGTCATGTTAATATTGATTGATGTTTTTATAAAAGGGATGAAACATTACTCTATTTTATTTTTTTTGTATGGTCGGAACATGCTTGTTGAAAAAATCACTAGAAGTTATCAAAAATCAGTATAAGTTAGAAATAAGTTAAAATCGTTAACTAATACTACAACAACATAAACTTTTTTATAGGTATAATCTACTTGAATGAGAAAAATAAATTTGGTACATGTAATAACACTATTAGAAATTTATTTTTCATTATATTATTGCTCTCCAGACTCTTCTATATGCTTCATCTATGCCACTTTAAAAAAAATAAAAAATTGAAGTATGTATGTGTACTTGTTGCATTATGAAAGTACAAGTAAATAAAAAAATTTGGATTTTGGAATAATGTTATAAAAGAATCTCAAATATGAAATTTTTTAAAATGTGTCTAACCTAGATATCTCAAATGCTCATAAATGACTTGGTAATAGACAACTTTGTAGCTAAATTTATTATTTTTATTTAGAGTAGATTTTGTTTTATAGTTTTCAAATTAAGCTTGCTAAAAATAGTCATAATTCACGCTAAAAAATATTTGAGAAGGACCAAATGAGTAGAAAAAAGGAAATAAAAAACAATGAAAATATTGTCCAAGTGAGATCACATACATATTAAACAAAAATTGTCAATACAAAATTTTGGAGATAACAAAGTAGCAAGAAAAATGCATACATTAAGGGAGTAAAGTATGATATCTCTAATAATGATAATAAATCGTTCTAATTGGAAACGACGTATGTTTTACAATAAAATATCTAAAAATTTTGATTAACACTTCAGTCAACTTTCAATCATCATTATACATAAAATTCCAATGATAAAATTTAGTAAAATATTAAGGAAAATATAAAACATAAAAAATATGGGAATGCAAAGTCATTAACTCTCAGAGAACTTTTCCAGAAACAGAAAATTTTATCCTTGTATATGAAGTAATGACGTTGCCGATGAAGAAACTAAAAATCCCAGGAAGAGGCGATAGTTTTATTTTGGACTCTAGGATGACATTTGGGTAGAAGTTGATGTACTATATATAAGGATTTTTTTAGTGATTCTGAAAACATAAACAATCTAACATTTAGAAATCCTATCAATTATTCAGAATCGTAGAACTATATGATTTTCACATATATTTAATACTACGATATTTCAATTAAGAATACATACTCGAATCTGTCATTATAATTATTGACTTGATAGAGCGAAAGTCTTTTCTTTTGGTTCTTTTGAAGTTGTTTCTCTCTCTTGCCTTATACATTATGTATAATTTTGATGGATAAGATTATATCTTTATGACTGAGAGAAGACCCTTTAAATAGATTGTGTTTTAACATCATTCACACCTTTCCATTATGGTAAGTAGCGGAGATTATGGATAGTTGAAAGAGGTTATGGGTAAAGTGGAAGAATTACTGGGTAGTTGAAGTAACTTCTCCACTTCTCCACTTCTCCAATTAGAATTAGAATTTAGTTAATAATTAATTATTAAACCAAAATAATATTAATGTGAGTGGGTCATAAAACTAACATTCTCCCACTTGACACACGTAACATCATTTACTTAATGATTTAATAAACATTTCAATTACAATGTGCACATATACTAAATTCAAAATTATTTGTTGTTATTAAGTAAATCAACTAATATGAGTCATGACGGTTGTACACCACTTTATTTGGAATAGTCCCTTTCATGCACTACAAAATTAGTCTATTGCCCAACACAACATTTCAAATACATAATGGGTCCACCATAATTCCTAGAATATCTTTATCTAAAACAAAACATGTCATCATCATTCTCAACATAACGTATACAAGAGAAAAAACAGGTAATAACATAAAGATATATATAGTTGAGCTCAAAGTATCAATTGCATAAACATAATATAATTTTTACATAAAGTCATTCATTGCTATTAATAAGACCCACTCTTTCAAGATGTTCAATAAATGTTTTGGGCGGTAATCCTTTCGTCAAAGGATCTGCAATCATATGTTTGGTGCTAATACGTTCAATTGTCACTTTATGTTTATGGACTTCTTCCTTAACTGAAAAGTATTTCAATTTCATATGTTCGGTACCCTTAGATTACTTATCATTTTTTAGAAGAAGACTGTTGCAGTATTATTACTATAAATTTTCAACAGCTTGGAAATACTGTCGATTAGTTCAAGTCTTGAAATAAAGTTCCGTAGCCAATTATCCTAAACTGTAGCCTCAAAAAATGCCACAAACTCAACTTCCATATTGGATGCAGCTATAACAAACTGCTTCTCACTCTTCCGTGATATTGTTCCTCCGACTAATAGGAACAAATACCCAAATGTGGATTTTTGTGTATCCACACAACCAGCATAATCTGAATCTGAATATCCAATCACACCAAAATGATCAGATCTTTCTATAAGTGAGCTATGATCTTTAGTTCTTTGCAAGTATTGCAACACTTTTTTCCCAGCTCTCCAGTGATCCATTCCTGAATTACTTTGATAACGACCCA